CCCCAAACCCCCAAACCCCAAAACAAACCCCCAAACCCCCAAACCCCCAAACCCCCAAACCCCCAAACCCCCAAACCCCCAAACCCCCAAACCCCCAAACCCCCAAGCCCCCAAACCCCAAAACCCCCAAACCCCCAAACCCCCAAACACCCAAACCCGCAAACCCCCAACCCCCACCCCAACGCCCAACCCCCAACCCGCAACCCCCAACTCCCAACAACCCCCAACAACCCCCAACAACCCCCAACAACCCCCAACAACCCCCAACAACCCCCAACAACCCCCAACAACCCCCAACAACCTCCAACCCCCCCCCCCCCCCCCCCCCAACCCCCCCCCCCCCCCCCCCCCCCCCCCCCCCCCCCCCCCCCCCCCCCCCCCCCCCCCCCCCCCCAACCCCCCCCAACCCAACCCAACCCCCCCTCCAAAAAGACAACAACAACGTGAGAACTTGCACCAGCCTCTTCTTCGGGCCAGGTGGCTGGCGCTAGGCTGGCGCAAGTACTTCTTCAGCCCTGGCTGGGCCTGGCGCCTTGGAGAAAAGTTGGTACAAAGGACTTTGGGAAACGGGGAAACCACCGTTGCTTTTGTTTTTTGTGGGTTTTGGTCAACTTATGGGAAGGGTGTTTGCGAGTAGGACATGGATGGCAATTTTCCCACTTGCGAACAAGCAAACGAGCCAAATGCAGGTTTTTAAACACCAGCCAGGCTTGTTTTTTTGTTGAGGGTACCACTTTTTACATTGGTTAGAATAAAGGACTTGGTGAAACGGGGAAGCGACCCTTCACAGTTCCTGGCAAGTTATTTTTCGGTTTTGGCTGCAAAAAGCAGGCCTTTGTTTTGCAAGCCCATACCGTTAGGGTTGAGAGGCCGCCGGGTTTTCGGGTTGCCCCCGATTTTTGTCCAGAGATCAAAAATCCTCCCGGCAAAAGTCAAAAGGGAAGCCAAGGACATCTGCCCCCGTAACCTCCAAATACCTTCCATTTGCTGAAATGAGGTTCTGCTAGGGTCTTAGAGAATTTTCCATGGGACCACCCCTCCCCCCCCTCCCCTTGAAAAAAGGGACTGCGCTATGATGAACACTCTGGTGAACTCCGATCTCCTAGTCTTCCATGAAATGAGCCTCTTTTTTCCCGTTGGTGTCAAAGGGAATCAATCTCACTACTGGACATATGTTTATTTGTGTGCCCGTGGGCTTAAGCAACTGGCAATCTTTACGCCCTTCATATCCTAACCTCCACACCATCAGATCCTTCATGGAACAGCGCAAGCTGAAGGGTTATTCTAATTTGGCAGGAGTGTGTTCAGTGCTGAGCGAATGCACATGACCTGGGTTTCTGATCCTGTGGCATTCGTGTTCGCAGCCGTTCGCGATGCTGCGGAGACCCTGCCTTAAAGACCCCCGCCAAAAGCACCCGGCAAAAAACCACCCCCCTGTGAAGTGAACACACACGGTAAACTGGGGCGCAAACACCATGGCGACTGTATACAAAAAACCAATGAATAACTCAATGAAGAAACAAACTAATACACGATTAACATTTACATACATAAACAAAGTAGTTACATAACTAAAGCAGATGAGTTCATAAGTCAATCAATCAAAACACCATCAATAAATCAATAAGCAGACAAGCAAGTAAGTAATTGTAAACGCTTCGCGTTGCCCGCCTCGGCCAGTCCGCTTTTTGCTGGCTTTGAGGTAAATGCTGTGCTTTAGTTTGCCTTGAAGTGTTGTTATTAAAGCGAGTGAGTCGGCGCCGAAAGAAGTCGAGCGGACACGCTTCTACCAGTTTCTGCGGTTTGGAACTGGACAGGCCTTTGCACGGATTTGAGGTGATCTGACGTCCCGGTTTGGGGGGCCGGCTGCTTCCAGGCTCGCTTCAGGCGAACTGGGATTTCGGCGCCGCGCGACATGGGGTCGAGGGGGGGGGGGGTTGGACGGATTGGGGAAGGGGCTGGGGATGGGGTTGAGAAGATCCCGAAGAGGTTCTGAAGGGGTCTGACCGCTTCCCGGCCCTGGGGGCCGAGGCGAATAGAGGACAATGAATAAAAATAGTCAAGCGACAATAGAACGATAGGTGTAGAAGTAGGATTGAATCAGCAAAATAAAATAAACAAGCTTAACATTAACACACACCAGATCAATAAGGTAGATCTAGCATCGGTTTTTTTCCGCGCCGGCGGCTCCGAAAAAGCCCCGGTTCTTCTCCTCGGCTTTTCTTTGTGGCTGGGTTTCGAAGGAACTGGCTGGACGTCTTCGTGGTCACCTCCACCTGGGTAGAGCTGGCCGTGGGCTTCTTCGAGCTCGAGGACGTGGGATCGCGCCGAATTGGGCCGAATTTGGCCGACGTTGGACGTTCGTTTTGGAAGCCCGGCGCGATGAACGTCGCTGTTGGGTCGAGGTGTGTCGAGGTGTGTTTTAAGAACGAGTATCTTCTTCTTTTGTATTTGGGGGATTCTGTTCGACTTGGCCTTACTAGATCAGTGCAGTGTCTGGCGGTTGGAGTTTGCCAGCGGGGGATCTGAATCCTTCACTGTTCTTGGATCCAGTGGTTTGCTGTTTTTTTTTGGGAGTTCTGTTCATTTTTAGGTTCCAGAGTGGGTGTCTTTCGGAGTCTCACTTCTTGTTTTGGGTTGGTACATCCCCCCTTCTTTTTGGTGGTGTTCAAGGGAAACCAACAGGAAAACCACAGGTTTATACTTTACCCTCCTAGCAAGTAACATGGAAGCCACAGCGGCCCTTTCCAAGAGGAAATTCTATAGGTCTATGCACTTCCATGTGAGTTGGTGGGAGGGTACGCCTTTTTGGGCTTGGACCGTTTTAGTGGCAAATAACAAGTTTGGTTGCTTTTTTTCGGCGTGAGGAGTTGGTATCTTTTGGTTTGGTCTTAAGGGAAGTCCAAAGGAAAAGGAACATCGAGCTCCGCCATTCATGGGCGGTCCGAATCAGTAGAATTTGGACGCTGATTTGGACCAAGGTTCCTTTGTTTCAACCCTGCCACATCAATTTCGGCTCATGGCAACTCCAAAAAGGGGATCATTTCGGTTGCTTCAACTTCCTGATCTGGAACGAGTTTGTTTCAGCCACATGTTTCAGCCCAGGTGCTATTTCAATGGGATCCCAAGTGGAAACCCCGGGGAGCCAAGCTCTGAACCACTCTTTGGGCCTAACCCCGCAGCTTTCGGTTGAAGAACCCTCCTAGCCACGCAGCCCGACTTTCGAGTTTGGACCTCTCTTTAAGGGGACGAGTTCTCTGGTGGAAACCCACAACGTGGAGAGGCGTGATACTTTCGCAGGACAATGGCGCGGGCCTCTCCAATAGCAACTTGCGGCTCCTGCGGATTGTCAAGGCAGGGCCGGCCCCCCTTCTTCTCGATTCTCTTTTCCAGAGTTGTTCTCGCCATGTGGGTATGGCTCAAAATTAAACCATCAGGGGACTTCCGTTTTGGGTACCTATTTTTGACCCACAGCCATGTGGGCGGATTGCCCTCGTGTCTCAATTTCGTTGTGGTTGCTTGAGCATGTTTCCATTTTTCGGAACCAATTCGCGGGACAAGTCCGGACAAGTTGTGTTTGTTTTCGGGTCACACCCCCCGGGGACCTTCTTTTTGCCCACATGTGTCATTCAGCTTCCCTCCAATTGGTGGTTTGGATTGGTGGTTTGGATTCCGATTTGAACCCCTGCTGGTTCTTGCAAAGTGCCTCCCCCTAACCACCAAACTACCAATCCAAACCACCTCTGGTGTACATGTGTCCCTTTGTTTTCCAACCTTGTTCCGGGGTCGTGTTTCTGTTTGGGCTTCTCATTGGCTTCCCCTTGTGCCTACTTCTGTCCATTGCTTAATATTATGACATCCGGTCATATTGAGAATCGACACTCACCAGCTTAGAGAATCCTCTGAGGTGACTGTGGGGATCTATCTTTTCCGGAACTCTGCCGTGCCCGGGCCGTTGTAGCTTCGGTGTTGTCCTCTTTTTCCCCTATGATTTACACTTGATCCACATCTTGGTTGCATTTTTTTTAAATAATAAAAACACAATACAACAAATATTGTGTGTGTGTGTGTGTTTTCCTTCTTTGCTTTTCCAGTTCCCCACTTTTGCATGTTGCTCTCGCTTTTTCTTACTGTTGTTTTTGCATTTTTTGATTTGCTCCGTTCTGTTTTGGCTTTTTTTTTCGTTCCAAAAAGGTCATAGATATCCCATCACATGAATTCTTGTCACAGCTTTCCAAGGCTGAATCTTCAGGGAAATCTTCGGGAAATCTTCAGCAAAATCCTCAGGGAAATCTTCAGGGAACTAGACAGTTCCCTCATATGGTAAAGGGACAGCATGCATATGACACACAGGAGTCTGGAACACAAATTGGGTGGAAAGGCTGGAACACGGATAGAGGGTTGGGACAAGGTTGGGCACCCTTACTTGTTTTGTTTGTCGTCTTTGATGGGAGAGCAGTGTGTTTTTGGACGGTTTTCTGCGGCTTTTGCTGGTCGATGTTTTGGTGTGGGATGGGCTGGTAATTGTATGGAATCCTCAGGGGTCCAAGCCGAGGGGGGGGGGGGTCCGCAAGGCGAAACTTAAGGCTCACTGTTGGGAACGTCTGGAACTGGTTTCGGGAACCCGTGGAATTCCGGGCTCTTTGCCTACCCCCCCCGCCCCCCTTCTCCGGCAAGACTCGATGTGAAGGTCAAATTTTCAGCGCAGTTGGAAAGTGCGGGACCGGGATCCGATTCTGCCTTCGCCTCGCCTCGGCGGCAAAAGTCTCTGCCTTTTTTGCTGGATGCTTAGCTTCTCATTAGATCTGGTTTGTTTCCTTTGGCTTCTTCCTAGCGGCTTTCTTTTCCTGGCACATGTTTAAGTTGGTGTTCCTTAACACTATGCCCAAGCCTTGTAGTTTTGATGGCTGTTTTCTTTTTGGATTTGGTTTGTACCCCGCATGCTTTCAATCCTTGTCGCTGTGTTCCTTTCGGTTCTTTTCCGCTGTTTGCCTTTGGAGTGCTTCTGCTTGGTTGCTGTATGATTTTATTTTTCAATAGATTTTTTGTTTTCATCATTTGCCGTTGTTCCACTGGTTTTGCTTCCTTGTTCAATTGTTTGTTTCCCTTTCTTCCCCCCGCATAGTTAAGCGCTGAACGACCCACCCATTGGGACCTTTCGAATCGCCCCAAAAGGGCTCAACAAAGGGGAGCCCGGAAAATGGCAACAGTTTCCCTTCGGCTTCCCCTTTAAACCCAATAAAACGGGTACCTCCGCAAAAGGACACCCAAATGGCTTGTCCGAATGAAACCTCGAGACGATGGACCTTTCGGTTCGATTCGGGGCTGAGGGAGCAACCCAGAAGTCGCTTGGGAATTGCGGAGAACCCATTCTGGTTGGTTGAACACTTGCCTAAGAACCTGCTTCATATTCCCCTGGTTTTGAAAGGGAATCTATCACTTCTGCGCATGTTTTTCACTTTTGTTACCCCCAGTGAACATCCCGATCCCAACTAAAATAGGCTCTAAAATGGGTAGTGCACCTACCCCAAAATGGCACCATTGGTTTTGACCCACAGCCAGTTGAGTATTGAAGAAACAACGTGAAAAGCCAGTTGATTTGGAGCAGTCCCCGGTTTACTGCGCCGAAAAAGGCAAGAAGCTGAAAAGGCCAGTTGGCTTCGAAGCATTTCCCAATTTACGCCTCTTGCAAGAAACACACCACCTGTTGGTCTTAAAGGGAACCTATCACTACTGGCACTCGAAATATGTTTATTTTCTCCAGGGGTATTAACCAAATGGAAGTTTAAAGGAAGAAATGGTAGCAAAACGGTTTTGACACAGCCGTTAAAGGAAGGAAAGCAACAGGTGAGCCGATTGGCCAGAGTGCTGCGGATCCTGCGGGTGGTGCAGTTCGTGCGGCCGCTCCGCACCCTCATGCACTGCCGCCTGAAAAGCACAAAACCATTTGTGGGTGACAGGGACATTATTGTCTTATTCTGGTTTTTGTTTTGTTTTGTTGTTGCTGCTTGTTGTTTGGTGGTGTTGGTTGTGTTGGTTGTTGTTGGTTGTTGTTGGTTGTTGTTGGTTGTTGTGGGTTGTTGTGGGTTGTTGTTGGTTGCTGGTGGTTGCCTTCTTGCTTGCTTGCTTGCCTGCCTGCCTGCCTGCCTGCCTGCCTGCTTGCGTGCTTGCTTGCTTCTTTCTTTCTTTCTTTCTTTCTTTCTTTCTTTCTTTCTTTCTTTCGTTGCTCTGCTTGCTCTGCATGTCCTGCATATGTGATCTTTTGAACATGGGGCATGTGGACATACAGACACCCTCTCCTACTTTTTGGGAAGTCCAAAAGCGAATTCTCTGTTTCCGGGGTCATATAAAGAAGTTCCTCGTGGGATGATGCTTAGAGGGGAGGCAATATCATTCGCTGACCGTGCGAAGATTCGCGAACGTGCGACTGAGCATAGCCAAACAATGTTTCAGAGTAGCGCATAGCACCATGACACACAAAACGCACACAAACCAACAAACTGACAAACAAGCAAGCAAATGCAGGAACCAAGAGGGTTTTCACCAGGTTCCCCTCTTTGCTCCGATATTGGCTGTGATAGCACCTGACAGGGGGTCAGTTGAAGAGGAAATTGACCTTCCCGGTACCCTCCCACCAATGCTATGTTAGTGGGAGGAAGGGTAGAATGAGTGGCCGGTTTTGTTATCGAGCGCCATCAAATCGAGCGCATGTACACATGAGGGGGTTGTAGGTCGGCCTACTCAGATACTGTAGATGGACAACTACTGGTTCACCTAAAATATCCACCAGCTGCAGATTTCGAGTGATCTCCCCCACCGGTTTATTTCCCCCGTGTTTTTTCCTTATTTTTTTTTAAAAAAATCCTTCGCTTGCCATTTTGAAGCGCGCTTTTTGGTGTGGTGACGTTTCTTACAAGAGACGTAAATTGGGAAATGCTTCGAAGCCAACTGGCCTTTTCATTTTCTTGCCTTTTTTCGGCGCAGTAAACCGGGGACTGCTCCAAATCAACTGGCTGTAGCCTTTTCAGTACTGAACTGGCCTTAGTGCTTCAACCCCCTACTCCAAATACCCACTTTTTCTAGGGTATTTGCTTGTGAAACCCTGGCTTTTTCAAAGTACTCTTTTTTTCGTAGAGGGTCGACATGATACGGACAAAAACAGGCCAGGTATTTGGAGTCGGGGGAATGTTTCGTTCGGCCGGGTTTTTCTCCCCATGTCTGTCAGCTGGGGTAAACCGTCTCGCTGGCTCTTTTTTGCCATTTTCGCCTGAGGTTTGGTGGACTCGACCAAGAGCTTCATTTGGGCCCTCATCTTGCTGATCCTCATGATGCGCCCGGGAAAGGGGGACGCGGATTTGGGCGGGGGCTCCGGGCGAACAGACCTTGGTCCGACCGCGGCTTGGGACAATGTCCGGGTTTCGATTTTGCAGGTTTTGGGTGAAAAGGTGCAGTGGTTGTCAGTTGGGCGGTCGAAATGACCACCTCCTTCCAATGGAAGCTGCAGAGTGGAGGGTCAGACTGGAAAGGGGATGCGAACCACGTGCCGTCCTGCAAATCAACACGGAGCCCCAAAAAAAAACACCCATGTCTAGAGGAATCTCCTTTTTTTGGGAGGCCCCTTCTTGGGTTCCATATTCATCTACAGGGGAGCAGACGGTAGTTGGCCAAGCAAGCTGGAGCTGGCCAGGGTGCGTCAAAACCTCAGCCGAGTTGTTTTACTCTTCGCCCCTCGGTGTGGCTTTGCCTCTGAAGTTTCCATTGAGCGAAGTCGTGAAACGTATCCCAGCAAGACTTGACGCAACCAGAGCAATGGGCGATGGGCGTGGCTCTTTTTGGGGGACTGCAAAATCGCGGCGAACAATGGGATACCAGCAAAAAGAGACACCACCCAAAGATGTTTGCCTACTCATCCTGCCCAGCATGGAACCCACGAGTCCTTCGAGTAAAATTCTCGGAGCCAGCCATGTGGATGGGCGGGTGCCCGATTGATCGTTGTGCCAGGTTCATAAACTAGGTCCCCCAGCTAGGTGCCCTTTTACCCTTTTCTAGGGCAGGGTTCCCCTACTAAAATAGACTACCGAAACAAGTTGGTACCCTTATTCTAACCTCTCTACTGGAGGACCTAGTAAAGGAACTGCCATCTTCTGAGAGCTTCGGGCTTTGGAAAAGGTATCATAATTTCAGGTCGTCGGAACAGGGTCTCCCTAAAGAATTGTAATGCTTTTCAAGAACCGGTGTGGTTTACCTTTTGGTCTTGGTTCACCAAGAACCGGTGTGGTTTACCCTTTTGGCCTTCGTTCATCTCGGCGGCCGCATCCCTCCCGCCAAGTGGAAACCCAGTTTGCTTTCAAGCACCCTGGAATTTAGACAACGATCATGGTTTCTCCGGGCCCAAAATATCTGTACCCAATATGAACCTAGGTCCCCCAGTATTGCCCTTTTACCCTTATTTGGTTGGGCAAGTTCCCCTATATACTAAAATAGACTACAGAAAAAAGGATGGTATTCTAACCTCTCTACTGGACCTAGGAGACCATGATATATCAAACCTCAAGTGGCTAACAGAAAAGGACTCGGCACTGGCCGGAGCCACCTGGCATCAGCCTCTTCTAGTCGGTATCATTTGTCGACCCTCTTTCCTAAAAAAGGGATCGGTATTTACCTTAAACCGATCGGTTGTCCAAAAAACGTACCAAAGAAGGCCGGGGTATGGGGGTAGCAGTTCCCCCATTCTCCCGGAACAAAAGGTATCAAAGGCCAGTTGAGTATTGACAAAACAACATGAACCGCCAGTGGACTTGGAGGCTGCGGGGTAGCCGTCCAGAGCGAATCGACGTCCCGAGGTACGTCTTCGGGTTGCTGTTCACCGACGCGGTGCTGGACCACCTGAGGGACAACGACGACCTGCCGGATGAGCTCGACGTGAACCTGAGGCCAATGCCAACCTTCCATTCCCTTAAGAATCTGTTTTATTCTCCCCTGTTGATTTTAAAGGGAACCTATGACTACTGGAATCATTTTCATATATTTTTTTCCCGGGGGTCTTGGGCAAATGGAAGCAACGGTTTGCGTGGAGGCAAGGTCCAAATTTTCCCCCCAGAGGAGTTTCCTCCATGGGCTGTGTAGGCTGAATGCGAATTTCTTTCTTTTCGTTTGTGGGTTTTGAAGGGTGTCTCTGACTACTGGAATAATATTTTCTCATTTTTGCCGAGGGGAGGAACAGGCAAATGGAAGGAGCGTGTCTCAAACGATTTCCTTTTGGGTTTCCCTTTGAATCCGAGGAAAAGGGAGCCCCTCGAAAAAGACAAAAAAGGAAAACACACACACACAGCAAAATACGGTTGCCCAAGATTCCGTGGGTTTTCCTTAGGGTTTCCCTTGAAGCCGCGACTTTTTGCACCCCAAAGGCAAAGCAAGACAGCTCCGAGGTGTGCGGGCCCAACAGCCGTGATTTCGCCAACACAAATCTGCTGGGGCACTTCACACATAGAAATTGGTTACCCCGTAAACACCCAATACCCGGCCTTTCTTTAGTCAGTACCATGTCGACCCTCTTTCCTGAAAAAGGGTTCGGTATTCACCATGGAAACCCGATTGGTTTTCAAAAGATACCCTGAAAAAATGGGTATTTGGAGTAGGGGGTACCCTTGGTTGGACATTGGGATGTGCCATTTAGCAACCAGGAGCAACCGCCCGGGTGGAACTTTTGATTTCGACCCCTCTAAATTGGATTTTGTGACGTGCTTTCTGTGTCCTTCAGTTGGGTTGCACTCATCTTGTCTAAACAAGTACTATTTGTTTGCCACTGACAAACCGGCTGGTTGGGCAAAACATCTAGGGTCCTGCTTTGTATGGACAAAATCCAGCACCAGTTGGTAGATGGTATATCCCGAAGGGTTTCATCCCGCTTTTAAGGAGCTTGTCTTTTGGTGTTTTTTTGACTACTTGGATGTTTGGCTGACTTAGCAAGTTGTTGGTATCCTGGGTTATAACCCTAAGTGGAGTTGACCCTGTCAGCAGTGGGGTATATCCAAGGTGGCGGTTGCCACTTGCTAACTTGGCTGGGCGCAAATCCAAGTAGGCTCCTCCGGATTCTGAAGCTAACATCGAAGCCGATTCGGGTAGATGACGTTTTTTGTTGTGGTTGTTGGCTCTGTTCATTTTAAGCTCAGGGCTCCAAGCAACTGCCAAGTCGGAATCGTTTTAGTTCTTTACAATGGTGGGGGATCGACCATTTTGATTCCGATCTGTCTTGCGTATGACTCAGTTGGCTTCTGCCCTCAGGTTTCTTGGTGGCTGCCATCCGGATCCTTTGCTGGAGCTTTTTCGTGTTTCGTGGTTGGATGTCCCAAGTTTCACCCGCCAAAAGCTCGTCACTTGCGGGGGGATCCAACAAAAACGGCCAGCCTGGGTGACGAATCCACTGGCCGTTTTCGGGATGGATGCATCTCATGAGGCGCTTCTTCGGCACGGTGTACGCGTCCATGACCACGCCGCCGGCTCAAAGAGCCGGCCGAGGGGGGGGGAGATGACCTCCCGATGCAGGGACCAAGCCAGGTTTGGGTCCTCGATGTATTTTCTGGCTAGGTCCCCCAGTAGTGCAAGCTTGACCATTTTTTTGGGGAGGGTTCCCTGCTAAAATAGATTACAGAAAAAATCGGGTACCCTCATTCCAACCTCTCTACTGGAGGACCTAGCCCTAATTGGTGGTTTGGTGGTTAGCAATAGGGGGGAGGGTTCCTGTTGATCCTCTACAAGCTCCAGGGCTCCAATCCCCAAACCACCAACCCAAACCACAAGCAAAGGGTTGCCTGATTTTAGTGCTTCGTTGTTTTTGCTCTTGTTATTTATTTTACGGAAGAAAGGAAGGCGAGAACAAACATGGGCCCATGTTGGGTCCCGAGCTTTGTTCTTGCTGTGCGATGTCCTCAGTCTCCATATTCTACCCTGATAATCAGGGAGCTACCGCGAGGACCGTAAGAGGGGTCCCCCACAAGGATTCATCCCCAAATGGGACCAAACGGTGAACGCCACATAAATCCGAAGACATGAATCAATCCCCAAATGGTTTCCTCTACGTTTTCCTTTGTCTAACCCATCCAAGGAAGGGGTTCGGGGGAAGTCCTCGATATTTTTCCATTCTTTGGGTTAATCATCGCCTTTGCGTCGATACGATTCATTTTTTTGGTAGGGTGAGGATTTCTTTTCTTCAGACACAACTGGAGCCCATTTCTTCCCAACTCCGCACTCTCGGGATTTCCTTCAAGGGAACCATGTGAGCAACCCGAAGTCTTGTGTTGGTTTCGGCAAGACGCGACAGGGGCGGGACGAGCCAGATATTTGAGCCAAATCAGGCAACTCAATTCTCCCAATTCTCGGTGGGTTCCCTAAGGTGATCTTTTGAAGGAGGAATCTGGGGGTGTCTCTGCCTTGTCTGGAGTTGCCAAGTCACTTCTCGGGGGTTTTGCATATCGCACCACCGGAAAACACCCATTTTTTTATTTATTTGTTTTTGGGGGGGGTTGCCAAGTCTTTTCTCGGGGTTTTCCGTCGGACACCACCGGAAAACGCCTCTTTTTGGGCAGTTCGCCCCGTCCTTCTCGGGGTTTCCTGTAAAAAAAAACACACACAAAAACAAAAACGGCCAAGCCGACAGAAGACGGCGACTTCTCCCCGTGCCGCGGTTCCGCGGAAGCCGCCTTCCCCAGGCCAGGGTTCTGCTCTTTGACTACCGGGTAGACATAAACCCAGGATTGGGTCCATTCCCCCCAAAAGGAGAATTTCTGGGTTTAAGTCTCCCCCCTACCCCCCGGAATCTCCAAAGACCCGATGCCTTTTTCCAGCTGGCATTTTTGGAGGAAAAAAAGCAATCCGATCGGGTTTCCATGCGATCCCTTGAGGAAAGAGGGTGGACACATCAGACCAACTAAAAAAGGCATCGGGTCATTGGAGGGGGGTGGGGGGGTATCTCGGGGTAGCCCTTACACCCAACACCCACATTTTCGTAGGGTATGATGTCCACCCTCTACTAAAAGAAGGAGGCACTTAAATTTGAAAAAACCGAAACCGGTTTTCCAAGGACATGCCCTAGAAAAAGGGGGGGTATTTGGAGATTACGGGGGTAGCCCAAACGTGGAAGCCCGAGCCGCCGAGTATACCCCAGGCTCTTCCGCTCCGTGTCCAACGGCTTGGACTGGTACGAGGCGGTGAACAGCCTGGCGCGGGTGGGGGAGGTGTGGGTCCAGCTGTACCACCTCTACATCAGCGCCTTGGACAGGGACAGGATTTTCCATGTGCTGAAATGTTTTTTTTTGTTTGTCATGTTGCCCTATTGGTTGGGAGTCTACCACTACTGGGGTTTTTGGGCGGGGTCGTGAGTGGAGTTGGTAAAACCAGAAACCGCGGATTCTGGTGGGTAGATGAGAAACCACCAGGATGCAGCGGTTCGTTGCTTCCACTTGCTGAAATGAATATGTTGTTTTAGTTTTCCCCTCTTGGTT